TAAATCTCGCGCTGCTACAACAGCAAGGAGGCGGTTTCGCGTTCCTAAGTTGCCTCTTCCTCCATCGCGGTATCCGTCGTAAAGCTGTAGCCGTCCAGGCTCCTGTAAAATCCCACTTGATTCCGCTTGCGAGAGGCCGGGTCGCTGCAACTGCTTCCGTTGTAGCGAACGAGGGCCGAACAACACGGTTGCAACGTGCGAAATTGGCTTCCACGGTGTGAAATGCTTCTCGTCGACGCATTCACCGGCGATCTCCGTCGCGCATTCAGCGAGCTGTGATTTACCGTTTCCACGTCCGCACCACGACGATCTCCTCTTGTAGAAGGAGCATTCCACCGTGGCCAGCCATAAAGCGGCCCTCGACCGCGAAAACTTTACTAGCGAGTAGCAGATGCAAATCCGGAGCGGCTGAAGTTCTCGGCTGCTCGCAGAGCGTACCATGGAAACGACACTTGTACGTCATCGATCATGATTAAGAAAGTCTTGTATGCATTCCGACAGCAAATACGCCGCTAAGCGAAGATTTATCTTGATACTATTGCGATGTGCAGCGTGATCCAGACAGTGTCCCGTGCACTCGAACAAGATAGTTTGGTCAGGAAACATGAAGCACTTTATACCATGAATAATTTACATACCGAGAGGTAAATCTCCCAGATCATGGTAGAAATTCTAGGACTCATGACGGAATTGCTAATAGCGGATAGACTAGTAGAGGATATTATCGCAATACAGATTCAGGAAGTCTTATGATTTGAGTCACAAGTAGAGCTCGGTTGCGGATAACTCACGTATCAAGATGCAAATTCGGAGCAGAGTTGAAGTCTCAATTTCACGTAGATTGATCTCCCAACGTGACACTTGCGCACTGCGGATCGTGATTCAGGAAGTCTTCGCGACTCGGGGAAGTTATTCTGGTAACGAGCCGTAAAGTAGTGCTCGACCGCAAGAAGTTCGCCAGATGTGAAAGAGAATGCAAATCAGAAGCTCAAGTTTCTTAATTTCCAATGGATCACCTCTTCGGAACGATGCTTTCGCATTGTAGATAGTAATTAGGAATTAGCAACCCGGTGAAGGTGCCTCTATAATGAGTCATAAAGCAGCATTTTGACCGCGAAAATACTATCGACTCGAGGAAATGCAAATTCTAAACAGATACTCATACTTCTTAACTATCCTGCAAACCATCATCGTAGATCAGAATCAAACGACTTGAGTATCGTGACGTCCCTAATAACAGACTGCGAGAATTTTGCAGTTGAATGATATGCTGACAGCACTTGATATGTAAACGTATCATTGATATTATCACTATTACGAGCATACGATTGTTTTCAAATAAATCTATCTTCTATTTTCCACGCAAAGGAAAGAAAGTGAAGAATTTATTTATTTTCATGCTATACTTTTCTTTTTTAATTCTTTTTATTGTATATTTAGTTAATTATTTATTATAAAAATTATTTAATACGAATAATAACGAAAAGATTGAATTTCTTGAAATATCTAAAAATTTAGCTAAATATAGATCTGAAAATAATTTTATTGGACCATCAAAATAATTACGTACGACACTCAAACCGGTTGTTAATCAAAATATCAAAACTTTTTGCTCATCATGTTTTAAATTCTTATGTAATTATTTTGATGATGCA